GCCCTGCGGCTGCTCACGGGTCCCAGCGGGCCCTGGAGCTCTCAGCAGCTTCTTCCCAAACCCAGGGGATGGGATGGCCCTGGAAAATGTGGAGCAGGGAATGCCAAGGGGACAAGAGCCCAACACTCCAGGGCCAAGAGCTGGAGGGTGGGTTGGGTTCACTGTGGGGAAGCTGCTCCCATGATCTGGGGACACACGGAGAGGCTGGGGCTGCCCCATCCCTGGAAGTGTCCAAGGCCAGGTTTGGAGCAAGCTGGGATAGTGGAAGGTGTCCCTGCCCAAGGCAGGGGATGGGACTGGATGAGTTTTAAGGTCCTTTCCGACCCAAACCATTCCAGGATTCGAAGATTTGAACACACAGTGGGTCCCAAAGCAGGAAGGCCAAGGTCACACAGGCTGATCCTCCCTTGGTGCTGCCCCCTGAACTGCGAGTGTGGAATCTGGAGAGAACCTCCATCCTGGTCTGTTCTACCAGAGCTGCTCATCCCACCTGGAGTCACCAGTTAAATTGGCTTTGGAGGAGAGCTGAGTCCTCCTGCCCTTGGAGAAGGGTCTGACACACTGGTGGGATCCTGCTGGGAACCACAGAGCCACTGGGACTGTGAGATCCCACCACCTCAGACACCCACGGAGAAGGGGGGAAATACTCCAAAATACTCCAAAATCAGACTAAATCTGACCAGGGGAGATTTCAGAGCTTCAGGGAAAGCCCCAGTTACCCCCAAAGAGCACCAGTGTAAGGACCAGAAACTGGAACTGCTCCAGGGAGTTCCAGACCCCTCCCAAGGCACCAGCAGCATCTCCAGTTCCTTCCAGCTTTTCCCTGAGCCCCAGGCTGGAGTTTCCACAAAGGGCTGGAGACAGGAGAGTGCTGAGTGTCCCCAGTGCACACACTGACCATCCCCTCCTGTTTTACCAGGGATGGCTGAGCACACACTGATCCAGCTGGGAACTGTGAGCTGCTCCTCAGGACTGGGATCATTCCTGTCCAATCCACACGGGGTTTGATGCAACAGCTCGAGCCCAGCTCTGGAACCCTCACTGACACAAACCTCCTCAAACAAAACAACACTGGCACAGCCAAGGAATCTCAGTGCTTGGAGGGGTCTCTCTTGTGTCTGTCTGTCCTTCTGGGGGCAAAGATTCCCACTGGAACAGCTCTGAGGGTGTTCACACCTGTGTTTTTCCCACTTCCAGAGCCAGAAATAGGAGCTTCTCACACCTCACCTTTGGAGAGGGACTTTTTATGAGCCTGGAGTGACAGGACAAGGGGGAATGTCTTCCCACTGCCAGAGGGCAGGGTTAGATGGAATATTAGGAAGGAATTCTTGGGAATTCAGTCTCCCCTCCCTGAGCACAGACCTGGAACGTTCAGAGCCAAGGCTAGGGACAGTTTGTGCTCCCATGGGAGGGGGGATGAATCACAGCCACGAGAGCACAACAATCTGTTCCTCTCTCACACTCTCACACAAAGGGGCTGCAGGAGCTGGAATCCATGCTCCCGGTGGGTCCCTTCCAGCTCAGGATATCCCATGGTCCTCCAAGTGCTCCCAGGAGCTGCAAGGTGCCCTCTGCCAGCACAGAGCACTTGGGTCTCACCAGCTTTAACTGGGGGGGAAGGCCACAGGCAGCCCTGCTGAGGGGCTCCCAGCTCAGTGATCCCTGCTCTCAGATTCCAGCAGGAAGGGTGGAGATGGGCAGCACCAGGAATACCTGCCAGGGAGACTGCTCAGGCAGGCCAAGGTGGTTCCCAGCGCTCTCCTTCCCAACCCATCCGTACTCCTGAGGTCCCTCCTTACTCCTGGGCTGCACAGCAGAGGCCCCAGAAACGAGCAGGTGGTTGGAACAGGCAGGGGGTGGAGGAGCAGAAGCCCACTGAAGCCCCAGCCTGGCGTGCCAGAGCCCCTGCACCCACCTTCACGGTCCCTCCTGCCGGCGAGTGTCCCACGTTGTCCAGAGATCCCACTTTGGCCTGGGCCTTCTCCTTGAAGTTCAGCTTCTGGTTCTCAATTTTGACATCTCCTCCCCCTGAAAGGACACGTGCAGGGGTGAGGTCAGGAAGGATCCCACCCCTTCCCAGCTCCCCCCCAGGAGCTGCCAGGGACCCTCTGGAGGAGGGACAGGACCAAGGAACACATTCCCTGGCTCGGTCTGTCCCCACTTTAGAACTGGCAGGACCGAAGTTGGTGACTCCCCCCTGTGCCAGCAAAGCCCTGGAGGTCCCTCAGGCAGATGGACAGGCTGGAATTGATCCTCACTGATCTGCTCTGGAGTCTGACACCTCCATCAGAGGTGTGAAATGCCAGCCCACACTGGTGCCATCCCAAGGGCTGTCTCCTGCTGCTGCTGTCCCTGTCCCGTGCCCAGGTCTCCTCCAGCTCAGCCATCTGGGGAGTGATTGGTGCCAGGACACCTCCTGCTCCTCTCCCTTCCCTTGTTATCCCTCCCCACTCCTGCTCCACCACTGGGATCAGCTCCTCCCTGGCACAGGCAGGAGAAGCCAGGTTTGGGAACTGCGTGGACACCGCAGGTGCAGGAGAACGTGGAGGTCAGAAAAAGAGCTGCAGGTTTCCAGCAAGACTTTTCTAGACTGGAATAGATTTTAGAACACTGCAGCTCCCATTAATCATAGAATTCCAGACTGGTTGGTGTTGGAAGGGATATTAAGGATCATCCAGTCCCACCCCCTGCCATGGGCAGGGACACCTTCCACCAGCCCAGGTTGCTCCAACCTGGCCTTGGACACTTCCAGGGATCCAGGGGAAGCCACAGCTTCTCTGGGCAAACCTGTGCCAGGGCCTGCCCATCCTCCCAGCCAGGAATTCCTTCCCAATATCCAACCTAAATTTACCCTCTGTCAGTTTGAAGCCATTCCACCTTGTCCTGTCCCTCCAGGCCCTTGTCCAAAGTCTCCCTCCATCTTCCCTGTCAGCTCCTTCAGGCACTGGAATGCCACAGTTTGGTCACCCTGGAGCTTTCTTTCTCGGCTGAACAATCCCAACTCTCCCAGCCTCTCCCAACAGCAAAGGTGCCCCATCCCTCTGATCATTTTGGTGCCTCCTTCATTAACAAATCAGGCTGTACATGGAATCATGGAACGGAACCATGGAATGGCCTGGGTTGGAAGGGACTCTAAGGACCATTCCAACCCCCTGCCGTGGACAGGGACACCTTTCACTGGATTCAATCCACGTTCCAGCAGCTTTCCCCCAACCCCAATTTCAGTAGGGCTGAGCACAGCTTGGCTTCCCAGAGACATCATTAAACCCTCAGCCCTCGGGAAGCCTGGCATGGCCGACGGTGGAAACCAAGAGATCTGGCCCAAGAAAACCAGCTCAGAGCCCTGCCAGGCACAGGACGGGCTGTTGTGCTTTCATCAGCCCCGGACAAGGGCAGTTATTGTGGCTCTGAGCTCGTTATTTCCGAGCACTGGGCAGGAGAGGTCACGCCTGTGGCACCTCGTTCCCAACGCGGGAGCACGTTCCGAGGCACTGGAGCGTGGGGTGGACGAGGTTGAAGTGCTTTCAACCTGGCAGGGAGCGCAGGGAACTCCCAGGGGCAGACAAAGAGGGGCCTGTGGTGCCTGTTCCTGGCTCGGGGCGGTGACCTCTGTCCCGAGGGTGTGGGGTTTGGCGGCCGGCAGCGTTCCTGTGTGGATGAGCGTCCTCAGACACCCACGGACCACGAGAGGTCACGGATCTGACCATCCCACAGTGCAAACAAGGGGCCTACAGCCACAGGACCTCGGGTGTGACACCTGCCCAGGCTCCAGCTGAGCCCTGGGCTGGGCACTGCTCGGGTAGAAACCCGAGATTCCCAGGAATTCACATGGAATAACTGCACTGTCCTCAGTAGGGAGCAGAGAATTCCCACGTGCTGATCCCATAAAGTGTTTTATGTAAGGCAGGAGCTGCCATGAATCTGAGGCTAAAAGGACCCTCATATGAGCTCTGAAGAACTGGAGACAAGTTCCTTTGTCCTTCCACAGCACACGGATGTTCCCAGCGCCCCAAAGGCCTCTGGGATGAAGCTTCCTGGAATGGCCATGGAAATATCCACGGTTTCCTTTCCAAATGAGCAGGAAAAAGCAGCCCTGGGCCAAAGCAGTAGGTGCCTTGAGGACATCCCACATCTCGTACTCCCCTTCTCTGCTCATGAAACCACCAGGAATTGCTAAAGGAGCATTTCCAGAGCTTCTGGAGACACCCCCAGGAAGCAGCAAACCCTCTAAACAGTTTCAGCCCCAACCCAGGACTGTGTTTGAGAGACGTGCAAAGTCAACCAACAAATCCTGACGAAATGGTAAAACTCCTACCTGGCTTATGCTTGATATTTGCTTTAGAGCCACACTTGGAGGACACTTTGGAAAGGTCAACTTTCTTGTTCTGGATCTGCACCTGGAGAGACAAAAAGAACCAGCTCAGCTCAGAGAAATGACTGCAGAGGCCGACGGGCCACCTCCAACACCAGCTTGTGCTTCACGAGCCTGTGGCCCTGCTCTACCAGGTCACGTTCTCCTGCCGATCCCCAGCCCCTGGGATCCGTCTCCTGCTGATCCCCAGCCCCTGGGATCCATCTCTTCTGATCCCCAGCCCCTGGGATCCATCTCTTCTGATCCCCAGCCCCTGGGAATCGTCTCCTGCCGATCCCCAGCCCCTGGGATTCGTCTCCTGCTGATCCCCAGCCCCTGGGATCCGTCTCCTGATGATCTCCAGCCCCTGGGATCCATCTCTTCTGATCCCCAGCCCCTGGGATCCATCTCTTCTGATCCCCAGCCCCTGGGATCCGTCTCCTGCTGATCCCCAGCCCCTGGGATCCATCTCCTGCCAATCCCCAGCCCCTGGGATCCGTCTCCTGCCGATCCCCAACGCTGCTGGCAGCTCTGGCGTCACGCAAAGGCCAGGAGGGGTTAATGTGAGGGACAGAAACTGAGACCAGAGAACACAGACAGAGGGACAGTGACCCCAAATGGGGGCCCTGAGCTGATGGCACGGCCATGGAATACAAAAGCACTTGGAAGAGGGTCCAACAAACAGCCAGCCCCGTTGCCACGTTCCCCAGCCCGGTGCTGGCGCTGCCTCTGAGGACACACTGTGGCCTGGGCAGCTCCACAGCCCCCTCAGATGTGACAGATGTCACCTCAGGGACCTCCTGCTGCAGGGCCAGGGACGTGTCACCAGCTCCAACCTTTTCTCTCCACCATCCTCTTCATCCTGGAGAAGAGGAGGCTCCAGGGAGACCTGAGAGCCCCTGGCAGGGCCTAAAGGGGCTCCAGGAGAGCTGGAGAGGGACTGGGGACAAGGCATGGAGGGACAGGACACAGGGAACGGCTTCCCACTGCCAGAGGGCAGGGAGAGATGGGATATTGGGAAGGAATTCCTGGCTGGGAGGGTGGGGAGGGACTGGCACAGGCTGCCCAGAGAGGCAGGTGGATGGAAAATTCCTCCATTCCAGAATGAACTTTTGTCTGACCACTTGGAGACATTTCCCTTGTACAAATGGAAGATAATTTATACCAGAAGGAGCTTCTGGTCATCTGGTCCAACGAAGTCGACGTTATAACTTCCCATGGGAAAAACCTGAGGGTTTTTAGAAGGAATGGCAAGAGAATCCCCAATCCCAGTCGTGACTGGGGGCTGTCAACCACCAGCTGGCCCCTCTGTGCTCAGGAAGTTCTGCTCCAGATTGGTTTGCAGAGAGATTCCAAGTCTTTCTTTCTGAATGTGACAGAACTCGTTCACTCACCAGCTACTCCAAGAGTTTACTGATAATTACCAGATAATTTCAGTAAATCTCCCTCAGGAAGCCTGAGGTGCTCGGGAAGCAGGCTGAGCCCAGCCCTGCTGCCCTGTTTGTCAGGGTGAGCAGGACAGCACAGCTCAGCTCCTGCCACGGTCCTGTGTCACACACCTGACCCAGGGACACTCTCCAAAGGTGACACCACGGCCACCCAACTGCATTTTCTCAGAGGTTGTCAGTAAACCTGCTACAGCTTTAATCAGCAGCTTCTGCTTGCTTGGGACTGGGATGAAATTCAATTTATTTCACTGACTGCACTTTAAAATCGGACCATCAGCTGACAATGTCACAGTTGTGCCCAGCTGTGGCTCCTCACCACTCCTGTCTCCTGGAGATCCAAACCACCTGCATGAAGTGCAGCTCTTGTTGGATTCCCAGCTTGAGTTTGCAATGGGAGACACATTTGCAGGCCTGGGACTGCACTGACAGAGCCAAACACAGACTCCAGGGCCAGAAATGAACTTTTTAGAGCAGGGAGTTTGACACAGAGGCTCAGATGGGGACTGTGACACTCAACTCCTTTTTGGTTTTCCATCTCTGAGCACTTCCCAATCCATCTAAGCAGGTCAAGCCACAGAACAGAGAAACCCACGGACACCAAATCACCTTTAAACCCTCAACACCACAGGCATAACCTGCACTTTGCACAATCTACCCCTTTACTGCTTTCTTTAGAGAGGAGCCTTGATCAAAGGTTGGACTTGATGACCCTGGAGGTCTTTTCCAAACTAAACCACTCTGTGGTTCCAGGAGGGGGAAATACTGAAGTGCAGCAAAAGCTTTTACCCAGGAAACTTCACTCTGTTTGTGTCTGGCACAAAGAACACGAGCAGGACTAATATCTACTCTTTTTGGGAACCCCAGAGGGCAGAAGGAATTACCTCCATGTGTAGAAGGCAAAGTGGGCACCCAAACAGAGAACCAGCCAGGAACCACCTGGGTAGGATGGTGGGATGATGCCCCAGCCCTGGGAGTGTCTGAGGCCAGGTTGGAGCAACCTGGGGCAGTGGAAGATGTCCCTGCCCATGGCAGGGGCTGGCATGGGATGAGCTTTAAGGTCCTTTCTGCCCCAAACCCTCCGAGATTCCACGCCCATCACTTCTACCACAGCAACCCTAAAGCTGAACCATCATCTCCTACTTAGCCACAAGCCTTGCCCACAGGATTCCTAAAGGCTTTAACTGAAGGCACAGCCTACAAAGAACGGACCTTCCAGACCTTCCATCAGGGAATCAAACACTGGGAAGTCAGGGAATCAAACACTGGGAAGTCTTCTCCCAAAAGAGATCGTCACAACTATTTGAGCAAGAAAACAGCTTGGAAGAGGTCACTAAGATCACAGTGCCCCAAAGGGAGGGAGGAGATACCAAAATGAGTGAAAAGGAAATGCTTTTCTGGGCAGACAGACTGGGCACTCACATCCATGTGCTGGGCTGGGGGTGTTGGGGGGGCTGGGAATGCCTGCCTGGAGCTGCTCTGGGGGCGTTTGGAACCTGGGAATGAGCTTTTGGCTCTGAAAATACAGAATAAAGTGCTGCTTGAGTAGCTGATCGAGGAGGAAAACTGCAGTGGTGAAAGGAGAGTGTGGGGGCAAGAGGAAAAGAAAGCAGGGCCACACTTGTCCCCAGCATTGGGAATGTTGGGAATGGCAGTGAAGAGCGAAGGACAGGATGGTGATTCATGAGCAGAAGAACAGTTCACTGATGAAGTTAATCAAGCAAGAAAACATCCCCCACTTTTAAATCCCATTCCTGGGAGCCTGGAAAAAAGGGAAAGCACATGTGGGGCTCCCTGGCCACTGAAGGGCTGCCAGGGGTAAGAGTGGCAAAACTGAAGTGGCTTCCAAAATACAGCTGCTTGGAGTGCAGGGGCAGGGAAATGGCACCAGCTGCCCCAAAAACTGTCCCCAGAGTGGCCAAAGGCACCGTGCCACCAGGCTCTGGGACAGCCTGGGCCACAGCTGGCACACAAAACCAGGGCAAACAGCAGGAACAGGAACGGACAGGGCTGAGAAACACCATGAGGGCACCCAACCGGCACGAGGGTCCCACCATCAGCTTCCCAAAGCCTCCTGAGGGAGCATTTCCAGGGGAAACACCCCCAGACACCCAGCAGGGCAGGGAAACACCAAATGAGACCCAGCAGATGAGAGAGGCAAAGCCCAAAGCCCCAGGCAGGAGGGGGGCAGAGGGTGTGCCCAGTGACTCTCGGGGGGGCTGTGAGCCCTCCTTCAGTGACCACCACACGGTGACCTCAGCACCTGCCCCTGGCCATCCTGGCACCCAACCCGAGGGGAACCAGCTCCTTCAGCACCCAGATCCGGTTCCCTCTCGCAAAAATCTGAGGGACAATCAGTCATTGACCAGTGAAAGGTCAGCCAGCTGGACATGGATTTATTTCCCAGGAGAAACAGCCCACAGCTGCCCCATAGCCGGGCCCTGAGTGACTCCAATCAGACACTCCTCAGGAACCTGCAATATTTAAGCACCTATGGAACAAACTCCCCTGGGCTTAAATACTTCAGTGTCTTTGAAACCATCCAAGCTTTGTGTTTCTGAAGCTGCCCCTGAGCAAACCCAGCACAGGTTTCAGGCAGCACAGATCTGCCCCCACGGAATGAGCCGCCAAACTAAACTCACGCTCTCCCAAGCTTTAGGATCCAGAGAGTTAACCTGGTTTTCCTGCCAGACACTTTCAGGATCTCACACCCCAAACCAAGTCTCAGACACCACCAGATTAACTTTCTATTTTAACAAGCTCAGCTCTGCAGCCAGAGGACCAGCAGCCTTTAAATTTAGAAATTAATCGCAGCTCAAAGGTTAAGTCCCTGAGTCTTTTCCTGTTTCAAAGTCCTTTTAGTGAAACAAGAAGTGAAATGAGTCTGGCTCCAGCTGGATCTCTCAGCCAGGGAAGGGCAGCGGGCACTTCCAGGCCATAATGATCTGAAAAACCAAACATCTGCAGTAGGTGAGAGGGATGAGGAGGTGCCTCCACTGCCTGCAGAGGGAATCCAGGGAGAGTTAATTCCTGGAATCCAGGGAGAGTTAACTCCTGGGATCCAGAGAGAGATAACTCCTGGGGTCCCTGATGTGAACATCCTACATTTGGCCATGGACAACCCATAAAGCAGGTGAGAGGCAGGTCAGGTGTAGCTGGAGCACTATGAAACGAAACACTCACGTTCATCCTGGCATCCCAAGTGAAAATGGACCAGTTCTCCAGCCTGCCTTGTTTGCAGGAGCCCTGCGACTCTGCCACACCTTTGTGCCTCAGACAGAGCATTCTTGAGAGTGACAACAACATGGTACAAGAGGAGGAGTTAGTAGACAGACAGCTTGCCCAGAGCCCATACTTACATTCCCACCTCCAGGGACATGCTTAATATTGTCCTTGGAACCACACTTGGACTGAACATGGCTGTAGTTCGCTTTTTTGGAGACTATCTGGACCTGGAACGTCACAGAATGGAAAACAACACAAGGGAAGAGGACTGGTTAGAGTTGTCATACGGCAGGTGGGGGCTCTGACACGAGGGGGGACGGGGAGCGTGTTAAACTCAGCCCAACTCCAGTGTCAGGGGTGGAAGCGACTGAGGAGGAGAGTGAGAAAAAAAGTGAAGGACAAGAGGCTGCACAGACAGTGTTAGTGCCAGAGCATGAGGTGAAAACGCTCCTCCACTGCCCCACGGACCTGCCTGCCCCCAAGGGATGGGATTGTCCATGTCCCCCCAAGCAGCTTCCCAGGGTATTTCCAGGGAGAGCTCCCCTGGAGCAGGGAGAGCCAGCCCAGCTGCACAGGAGCCACAGGGCCACCACTCTGAATGAACTGCTCAGAGCCTGCTCCTGGGTTGGCTCCAGTCCTGATACTGCCCCTCAAACCCCGGGCAGTGAAGCCCTGATGGGCTGAGAAACGTTTGTCTGACGAAGGTCCTCAAACCTTGGGCTAAATTACATCAGACCACGTGCTAATTAAATTGCTCCTCCTTTAAACTACAGCGATTTGGACTTGGGGACATGTTCAGTGGTGGCCTTTGCAGTGCTGGGCTGATGGCTGGACTCGATCTCAGAGGGCTTTTCCAACCTCAGCGACAGATCTTGTGATTTTTATGATACAAAAGGAGTGGCCAAGTGAGCTTTACTCAGAGGAGGAAGGGAGTTAGAGTGACAGGCCCGTGGTCACAAAGGTTAGTTACAACACGTGTTCAGACTGGGAGTTATTCCCCACAGCACAAAAGGGGGCAGAAGCTGTGCCCTGCTTCCCAGAAAGAGGATAAAACTCGGAGCACAAAAGGAATCCCCAGAACATTCTCACTCGAGCAGCTTCCCAAAGCTCCCTGGCCATTCAGAAAGGCTGGATTCAGGGCAAGAGCAGCTCTGAGAACTTGTGCCACGGAGTGTGTGACTGAGTCCCCCAGAGGTACAGATCCTGGTCATCCCTGAGCAGGCTCTGCCTGGTAGTTCTGGAATTAAACTGCAGCACTCCCACGTCACCCCCTCCCTCCTGGGAACACCACAGCTCTGGAGTGACCCAGCAAATGGTGATGGCCTAATCCATGGAGTTACAGAGTTTGGGTGCAACTGGGTCAGGAATACTGCAGGAAAGATGAATTCCCTCATATTCCACAGTCTTAAGAGAAGCAGCTCTGAACTGAAACTCTGCCTGGTTACAAACTGATTCTGTGCAGGAAGAACTGGTCTGGAGGGACTCAAAGTGAAGCCTGTATCAACCTCAAAGGGAAACTGGAGGATTCTGCCCTGGAAGCATTCCCAGCAGGAGTGGAGATGGTCCCTCCAGAGAGACCCCTGAAGGTGTTTCCCTGTGAACATCTCGGGGTGTGGGACAGAGACCAGAAGAGTGTCCGTGCAAGGAACAGAGACACCGACAGGACAGAGGGGAGAGCTGAAGAGAAGGGGAAGGTGACTCAAAATGGAAACGTTTGCCTTCATCTCCCCCAGAGAGAAGTGTGAAAGGAACTCACTTTCCCATTGGGCTGTTTGGGGACCCCCTCTTTTGATACGGCAGTTTTGGGAGGAGCCCCTTTAGTGACCGCACTGGGCTCAGACCTGGGCGTGGCGGCGGCTGGCTCGGGCCTTTTCTCTACTTTCCCCTGGATGGAGACAAAGGGGTGATTTCAACCAGCAAAAGCACAAGTGTGGGCAGGAGTGGGGGGGAACACCAGCTGCCCGGGTAGACTTCAGGGAGCAGCTGAGCCAGGAGAGCTTCCTGCACGCTCCAGCTCCCAGGCAAGGACAATCCCACGCCCGGGGTGGGAGGGAAGCAACACCACTCAGACATGGGGTGGCACAGGCACCCTGCTCTCCAGGTCTCAAAAACCTCCTGGTGCCCCTTCCCTGGCAGCACGTTCCAAGTGACCCCAGCACTCGCATGCTGCCAAAAAATGAACCCAGATCCTTCAGGAGCCCAAGAGCAGCAGTGCAGGAGCAGCTCCTTCGCACGGAGGACAGGAGGAAGATCTCGGAGGCAAAGACATCCCTGGATTGTCTCCGCCTTGGAGCTCCAGGAGCTCTGCTGGACACACACGCTGTGCTCCCAGCTGGGATTCCACCCACACAGACTTGACTCAGTCCCGGAGCTCAAAAACCGATTTAACTTTTTATCTAAAAAATGCAGGTGGACCCAGCGAGTCCAGCTGAGCAAAAACGGAAGGAAAAAATTGCAGGTTTCATAAAAATTCAGCAACTACCCGGAAATATCCATTCTTTTGCTTAACTGGATGGAGGGAGGTGCAGCAGAACCTGCATTTTTGGTTGGGGGCTCAGCATAAATGTTGTATTTTACTAACTTACAGACCAGTAAACAAAAAAAACCCTCAGCAGTGACAGCATTCTCAGACTCTAAAAACATCTCAGCGTAAATCAGAGTACGAAAAGGACAATTTGCTTAAAAATAAAACTCTTTGAATTTGATAATTACATGAAAATATTTAGAAAATTAAGGATAGTGCAATGAAACGTAAAAATCGAGTCCCTCAAGCTGACACAGGGAGGGCTGTACTGTGAGATCACCACTAGGACAGTCCTGACTGAGGGTAAATCCATGTGGTATTGATGCTGTCTGGGACACACAGCCAGCCCAGGAGTGCCCTTGACTCTCCTGTGCCTGGGAGGGACAGCATTGAGGTCCCAGCATGGAATGTGCTGCTCTGGCAGCCCGGGGAAGTTCAGTGCAGAGTTATTCAGCCCCACAGGCTGCAGCAAAGGGGGCAAATCCCTCTGGGTGGGAATTAAAGCCCTCTGAGTGCTGTTAACACCTCTGGTCAGGCCAAGGTGGGGGTTGTACAAGAGCTCATCAGGGTTTGATGATTATGCACAGCCACACTATTTAAACCTCAGAGAAGGCTGCAGGTCTGTCCCCAAACCTTCCTCATTCCCACAGGAGATATTCATGGCTTCACCAAAGTAATTTAGAGCACTAAGAGGCATTGAGAGCCCCAAGTTCTAGCTCTGTAAATGCCTTTTCAACACTAGCCTTTTCTGGTGGCCACCACGGGTGACCCAACCAGGCCCGTTCCGTGTTGGCTTCGGGCCTGTCAGACACGGGGAAGGTGCTGCGGGACTTGCTCCTGAATCCAGGTTTCCTTCACCCCAGAGCACTATTCCCCCCTCTGCACCATTCAGCAGGCTGGACTCCTCTGCTCCAAGGCCAAGGTTTGGAACACAGAGGAGATCTGGGGCGTTCAGCACCGAGTTTGTGTGTCGGGACGCACGGCAGGGAGACAGAGCCGGAGTCCCGGATTCCGGCAAACGCCGGCGGATTCCTTCTGACACTCCCGCCACCTGGTTCAAGCCAAGCCCAGAGCCCAGGGAGGAGCTCTGCAGAGGGTGAGTGAGGAGAGCAGCGAGGACACAGCCACCCAAAGCAGCGCAGAGCCCCCCCGGCGCGGCCCCGGCCCCGACTCACCTTCCCCCCGCCGGGCTGGTGCTTGATGTTGTCGGTGGAGCCGACCTTGGAGCGCACGTTCTTCAGGTCGGGGGCAGAGGCGCTGCTGCTGGGGCGGGGCGGCTTGGGCACCGAGCTGGGCTTGCTGGGGGCCTTGGCCGTGGTTTTTTTAGCGTCCGAGGAGGCGGTGGAGGCCGAGGGGGGTTTGGTTGCCTTGGGTTTGGGACGGCTGGCGGGCGCCCCCGGCACGCTGGGAGCGCTGGAGGAAGGAGTGGTGGCGCTGCTCTTGGTGGCGTTGCCAGCTGCGCTCCTGGGGCGGCTCGAGTCTGCTGCAGATGGCACGGGAATGGTGGAGGGGAGGGGGGAAACACGGGTCAGAGGCTGCTGGTGCCAACTCCCCCGGGGGCACAGCAGCCCAGCAGGGCTTGGGTTGCGAGGGCACCTTAAAGATCATCCAGTGCCACCCACCAGCCCAGGGTGCTCCAAGTCCTGCCCAACCTGGCCTGGGACGCTTCCTAGAGACCTACAGACACCTCCTCAGTGACTCCAGCCCCACATAAAGGGGATTTGAGTCAGAGTGAGGAAACGGCCCTGGCACAGCTGCCCAGGGCAGGGGTGGAGCCCCCATCCCTGGAGGGATTTAGAAGCTGCGTGGACGTGGCCCTTGGGGACATGGGGCAGTGCTGGGGGAACGATCAATGGCCTTGGAGGGTTTTTCCAAGCCTGATGATTCCATAAGTCCCTGATTAGAGGGAAACTGAGCAGTTACCTGATGGAGACTTTGCCAAGGTCTTCTTGGCCTCCGCCGGCTTCCCGTCGGTCTTGATTGCTGCCAACACAGAACACAGTGGTCAGGACTTCAGGGCAGGATCCACATGAAGCCTGGAATCACCCCCAAAATCAACTGCCCTGCTTGAAGCCCTGCCTGGATTCCTCCTCCTGATGGCAAAACCCACTTGGATTTTCCGGCCAACAGATCAGTTAATGTAAAAGGACCCTCATTCCACGAGGGAGCACACCTGGGGATGGGCTGCATTTTGTTTTTCCTTAAAATAACTTTCTCCATCTGACAGCACTCACTGAGACTATTTTAATCCTGCCCCACCTTTATTTCTTAAAAAACCCACCCCAAATAAACAAAAAAGCCTGGCAAAACACATTTCCTTTCTTTGCTCAACAGCAAAAGCAACCCCACATTTGCCCTTCTCTAACCTTGTTCTCAATGCCAGACCAGACCTACCCTGTGCCAATTTTCTTGCACAGAAGTTACTGCACATATTTTGGTCCCTATTTTAATTGTATAAACCCAAAAATCAATCCCTAAACTGAGCCAGGCCTTAGGGCAAAGCCCAACGATCATGACCTGATTACAGAGCACAGCCTAAACCAGGAATTCGTCCCTATTTCCCCAAGCAGATGAAAACCAACCACAAAACTGATCGAGGCAAAGATCGCGGACTGAAAAGTGGAAACAGAACTTTATTTTAAGGAGCTCTTTGATCATGAAATTGTAGGTTTTTAACTATCAGCGATGAGCAAGTTTGGGTAAAATCGGGTTTATTCCAATAGCCAAAGGAAGGCAACACTGAAAAGAAACAATAAATGGAAAAAAAAAATCATAGTTGGAGATTGTGAAAGCCCTCATTTTTTAATATTTAATTTCCATTAAGCCTCATATTTTTAGATAAACTCCAGCAGCTGGCAGGGTATTTATGGAATATCAATATGGAAAAGACCAAGGGAAAGAGGCAGATAACTACAGGCCAAGTTAGTCCGGATCATTCCACCCTGACTTTGCTAAAAGCACTCTATTAAACATCCCAGATAAGATTCCAGCTAATGGAGTGAAACCCATTTGGATAATTTAATAAGGCCTAAAGGAGAGATATATAATTAATACCAAACACTTCAAAAAAGGGCCTGTCAAACCAACCTAATTTCATTCCTCAAGACCACAACTTCGACTGGGGAAACTGTATGGACAGAACAGACTCAGCTTTCTATAAAAGGCAGAGGACTAATGTGTTTAATACAGAGAGAGAGGTTATTTCTGCTCATGTCAGTGGGGACACAAGTGCTGGGAGCCTCCTGCCTGTGGGACATGAGATGGTGAAAACCTGGAGAGCGATAAAGCTCCTGGGAAAACGGTCTGTAATGACAGGCAAGGACTGTGATCTTTGCCTGATGGGAAGGGCAGAGCGTGGCCTTGTACAAACATAACAGTCATTTCCACAGGGAGGGGAACAAAAAATTAAAAATTAAAAATCAAAATCTCGAGCCCCACGTGCCTCCCCTTTAGTGGAGAAGGTGACTGACATTTAACACCTGAAAAAGTGAAACTGCAGAATGTCAAACCAGTCTTTACACACAGCTTTGAACAACCTGACAGAATCACAGGCCAGTGTCTGTCTTCTGACTCGTGAGAAGCAAGTGCAGGTGTCCTGTTGAAAGAGCATCTTCAGCCAGAAGCAGCATTTTTAGCCATAAACTTATTCCCTGGCTCAGTGCTGTGCCAAGGTAAATTCATGGAATCACTGAGGCTGGAAAGGATCTTTAAGAGCATTGCATCCAACCATTCCCCAGCACTGCCAAGGCCACCACCGAGCCTTGTCCCTAAATGTCACACCCACAGGGCTTTTAAATCCCTCCAGGGATGGGGACTCCACCCCTGCCACTGATGGACAGCCCTTCCCAGGAGGAATTCTCCCAGGATCCAACCTGCCCCTCCCCTGGCACAGCTCGAGGCCGTTTCCCCTTGTCCTGTCCCTTGTTCCCTGGGAGCAGAGCCCAACCCCCTGGGCTCCCCCTTCCTCTAAAGGAGTTGATCAGAACTGGGATCAGAAGAGCTCCAGATCTCCCCCATGCCCATCTCTGCATCTTCCAGCAGCTGCAGCTGCTCCACCCAAACCCAGCCGTCGGTGTTTGACCCGCTGTGGTTCCCTCCACGCCCATCACACCCCTCACCCAGCACAGGACCCCCTTCCCCTGCCACTCCCGAGTCCCCCCTGCGTCTCCAGCTCCAGACAAGGCAGCTTTGCCTCCCTCTGGAGCTCCTCCAGCTGACCTCATCTCTCCCTCGCCCACCCAGTTCTGCCTGTGCTTTGGCACCATCCCACCGCCCTCGCCGGTGCCGGTGCCGCAGCCTCTTCCTCTGCACATCCTGCCTCTTGGAACAACCTTCCCGCAGCTCTGCATCGCTGACTCCGTCTCCTTTCAAATGTCACCAGCCAGCGCTCCTTTGTCTGCGCCTCAGTTTTGGAAGGGGGAATGAACTGAACTCATTAGAACGGAGTCCTCGCTCCCGGGCCGCGGTTTTGCCTCAGAGACCACACAAAATGAATTTTACAAGGACGGCCACGGGACCAGATGGGATACACGGCTCCTGGAGAGTTCAGCACTTCCTCTACGCTTGATTAATTATTATTTCCCCCCCCCCAGAGCATGAAGTCTGGGACGTCCAGCAAGCAATAAACCTCAAATAGTTCAAACATTACTATTTCTTTGGGAACGTTGGGTTAAGAATCCGAGCTTTGGGATTCACAGCCCAAACCAACCAACACGTATCGTTTTACACCTTTATTGGCAAATTTTGCCACTGGGGTCCAGTAATTTAAAAAGAGATCGTTTAACTCAAATTTTATCTGATGTTAAATCTCCTGAGCTCCATTAAAGTGAGTGAGAACATGTTTCCAAGAGGCTGAAACGCTGCTCGAGTTTCATGCTGAGCTCGTGGGAAGGTCCCTCCTCAGCAGCAGCAGCAGCAGCAGTGGGATACAGCCCTTTGGATGAAGCTGATGTGATCTCAGCTCCAAGTTCTTCCTGCACTGGTAAAAAGCCCTCAACTTCTGCTCAACCCTTTTTGGTTTTCGGAGGCACCGGTTCGGGTGTTTCAAGTACTCTCCTGCAGATTCGCTCTCCTGAGGTTTGATTTGCTTTTAGTGTTTATTCTGCTCCTGTGGCATAAGGCAGAGGCAGTTGCATCCCTTAAATTGCATTAAGCCTGGATCACACAGAGCTCATCCAAGCTGGCCTGGAGGGTCCTCTGGATTTGGGTTTGGAAGAGGAAGCCCTGGAGAGGAAAAGGTCTGAGCTACAGCCAGAGCCCAGAGGAGACCCCGGAGCTGCTCCCAGGGCTGGATCCCTCTGCTCTGGAGCCAGGCTGGGACAGCTGGGGGGGTTCCCCTGGAGAAGAGAAGGATCCAGGGAGACCTGAGAGCCCCTGGCAGGGCCTAAAGGGGCTCCAGGAGAGCTGGACAGCCCTTTCCCATGAAGAAATGTCCCCACTATCCAACCTGCCCCTCCCCTGGCACAGCCTGAGGCCGTTCCCTCTCCTCCTGTCCCTGTTCCCTGGGAGCAGAGCCCGTTCCCCCCGGCTCCCCCCTCCTGTCAGGGAGGTGTGGGGAGCAAAGGGTGCCACTCAGACCCACAGCCACGTGGGGAGGGGATCTCTGGCCGGGGGACAGGGGGACACTCACACGACGGCCTCTTGGGAGCGGCGGCCGCGGTGGTTTTGGCAGCGGGAGCTGCCGTGACCGGAGACGCTGCCGTTGTCTTGGGAGCAGCTGGGGAGCTCTTGGGAGGAGTTTTGGGAGTGGTGGAGGATGGAGGTTTGGAGCTCTTCTTCTCGGGGGGCTTCGCATCCGCAACCTGCAAGCGGAGAGCTGCCGTTAGGGCCGGTATCTCCCCCAAGAGAAGGGAAAGCACCACAGAAAACAGCTGAAATAAATAAACTGAAATGGCTTAAATTCTGAAGCACTTAAGCTTGGCACTGCCGAGGGGTTATAATGCAAATTAAAATATAATTAAGACGTGCAGAAGTGAGTGTGTGGAGTGGAGAACAGACCCCGTGGAGGAGCAGAGTCCACCCGGGGTTGGCCCAGCAATGACAGGGGGGAAGGAGGTTTGGATTTCCGGACAAAACGGAATATATCAGTCCACTGTCAACACTCCTGGGAGAGATCCCTGCCCTCCATGAGCAGGAATGCTTCCTGAGCTAAGCTGGAGTTTATTTAAACACTGGGGACGGGAGAGTTGGGTGTCTGTGGCTCATCCCTCACTTGGAAAACCATTTCCTGCCTGTCCCTTGTAAGTCACCTTTTTTGCAACTGCCCGGTGTCTGAAGCATGAAAACACTGAGTTGATGTGAGCAAACAAATCAGATGAGAGTCTGATTTTATCAGAAAAGGATTCAGAATGATGCAAAAACTCGAGCCAAACCAAAGATGCCGGCTCAGGGAAAAGCACAGATTTACACCTGGGCTTTCATACCCTCCCTGCTGCTTTTAGTGAGTTCTAAGAGACACTCAAATGCAGCTATTTAAGCTTAATATAGCAGAAATGGTGGCATTTAGCCATCAGTGAAGCTTCTGAAATAGATTTTAACATTCCCTTTTAAGCCTGAGTTCTACTATATAAGATCACAAGTTAACATGGGAAGATTCAAGGGACACCTCCCATTCCTAACATGTGGATTTCCTATTTCAGCTGCAGGATGAACACTAAGAACTGTCCATGAATCTCCTGTTCTTGGGGAGTTACAAATCCCCACCATTTCCCCAGCACAGAGGTGTTACCAGTTCTCTTTGTGCAGCTCTTGCAGTGACCAGGCATCGTAAGAAGACACCCAGTGGGAAACACTGGAGTGTTCAAATGGATTTGTTTCCCCTTGGTATGAATATCAAAGGTCTCCAATCACATTCTTGTCTGGATTTAAGAGTTTTATTGGGAAGAAAGTCATCCCTGTGAGGGTGGGCAGGCCCTGGCACAGGGTGGGCAGAGAAGCTGTGGCTGCCCCTGGATCCCTGGAAGTGTCCAAGGCCAGGTTGGACGGGGCTTGGAGCAACCTGGGCTGGTGGAAGGTGTCCCTGCCCATGGCAGGGGTGGAATGGATGATCTTTAAGGTTCCTTTCCACCCAAACCTTACTGGGATTCTGTGATTCATGTCAGGGAAATCACAGTAACACAGTCAAGTTTAATTGACCTCCGTGATGCCACAGTTCAGTGCCTGGGACCTGACGCCATCCATGGCTTCATGGAAGCTGCTCCCAAGAACCCTGCAGCTCCTACCACACTGAATCCCGATGCTGACCTTATCCCTCCCCTGGCTGGCACGGGAATTCTGCTCTGACTCCTGGGAAGAGCTGGCACTTCCCCACGCAAGCGAGCCCTGGGAGCTCCCCCACGCCGGTTCTTACCTTTGCTTTGGTCTCTTTTGCAGCTAAGGAGGAGGGACGTGTGGTGCTGGTGCCGGGGCGTTTGGCAGTGGCGGCTGCAGGACCTGCAGTCGGGCTCGTGGCTTTTTTGTTTGGGCCTGAGGTGGCCGAGCCCGGGCGCTTGGGGCTGGTGGTGGCCGAGGGCTTGGCCTTCGCTGCTGCCGGCTTTGGAGAGGAGGTGGATGCAGAGGGCTTTGGGTGGGGCCAGAAAGCAAAATCCGGGGTAAAACCAAAGGAATACAACAACAACAACAAAAAAATAGCGCATTGTGAACCAAAACACCGAGCTGCGAGAACGTAAGAGCGGCGTTTTAAAGGAAACAAATGATAACAACAATCAGCTTTCTGTTTTCTGAGCGCAACAGAGAGCCAAGCGCAGCAGCCGGGGGGGTGTCCTGCCACCCCATCCCAAAACGGCAGGATTTATTCCAGCAACATCAGAAGCAACAGAAGGAATGGCTGGTAAAGCTGGGATTAGTAATTGGGTGTTCCTGGCCTCCGGTCCTACGTGCAGGACGCAGGGCACGGCTTTCCAATTACGGGCACACACAGGGATTGCCGGCCCTAAATCCTCATCCGATCAACTCCCGCCATCACACGGCCCCTGCCCCGCAGGGCAGAGAGAGCTCCTGGCCCCCCAGCCCTCTGGGAATTTGGGGGTAGATTCTGGAGCTCCAGAGGGCAGAGAGAGCTCCCGGCCCCCCAGCCCTCTGGGAATTTGGGGGTGGATTCTGGAGCTCCCGAGGGCAGAGAGAGCTCCCGGCCCCCCAGCCCTCTGGGAATTTGGAGGTGGATTGTGGAACTCCCGAGGGCAGAGCTTTCTGCAGTGAGAGAGCCCCAGATCCCAAACAGGATCGCTCCGTGCCCACTGCAAGGCAAACAATTGTGATGCAAACAGCTCGGGAGTGTCTGTGCAGCAGCAGTTCATCCTCCACGTTCACTGCTCCTACACCAACCCCAAGCTCAGGTGAATAAACCTCTCCACACGCTTATCAAAGGCCCTTTCAGCCCTCTGGGACTGGATGGGCTTGGTTCAGGAAAAGGGTTCCCCAGTGGGGCTCAGAAAACAGAACCTGGGTCGGCACAGCTGAGGAAGCAGAAAAGCTGGCAAATAAAACCCATGGAAGCGGAGACACCGAACGTGGGACGGTCCTACCTTGGTCTTCTTCTCCGGGCTGGGAGGCAGCTCCTTGTTGGGAGGAGCTGTGATGTCGTTCCCTGTCACAGCTTCCACTGGTTTGGGCTCCTCTGGTTTCACTGGAGGGGAAGGAAGGGGCACTTTGTAAGTTTGAGCTTTTTTTAATAATATATATATATTTTTTTTAGTTTATTATCACTCAACACGGCAGCAGGAGGAGAGAGAAGTGAGACAGCTACAGGTTGGTATTTCAGGGAATTTTCCCCAAGCCCAGAATATCTGTAGGAAGAAAGATCTTCCCTGTAATGGGACAGGTTCATCCAGATGCCATTAGCATCCAGTTTCTCCTATTATTCCAGTGGGAAAAGCCAAACAGCAAATCTGCCCATCTTTCAAGCTATTAAAATTAATTCTTGGAATGTTAATGGCGAGGTTCTGACCTCTCCCAGGTTTTACACTATGACTTATCCTGAAGGGGGGTTCTGTTTCCAACTATCCCTATTGATAGGGCTGTTTCTTCTGGAACTTTCTTCTGCCCTCCATGAGCAGGGAGGGTTCCTGGCAGCCGAAGGGAGCCAGACTGACAATGAGAAAGGTCCCACAGGAAAATGGGAAATGGAGACCAGCCCTGGGAACAGCAGCAGGAGGACGTGGAGCTGCTGCAGAGAGTCCAGAGGAGGCCCCGGAGCTGCTCCCAGGGCTGGATCCCTCTGCTCTGGAGCCAGGCTGGGACAGCTGGGGGGGTTCACTGGAGAAGAGAAGGATCCAGGGAGACCTGAGAGCCCCTGGCAGGGCCTAAAGGGGCTCCAGGAGAGCTGGAGAGGGACTGGGGACAAGGCATGGAGGGACAGGACACAGGGAATGGCTTCCCACTGCCAGAGAGCTGGGAGAGATGGGATACTGGGAAGGAATTCCTGGCTGGGAAGGTGGGGAGGGACTGGCACAGTTGCCCAGAGAAGCTGTGGCTGCCCCATCCCCAGAAGTGCATCCCAGGACTTCCATAGAAGCAGGAACATGGAGCTGCTGTTCCAACACAGGTGGGTCCCACCTACCCTCGTTAGTGTGGAAATCCTTGTCCCACTTTCCCTACAAGTGGCTTTAAACCCCAATTCCCAGCGTGTTGCTGTGCAGCTGCACTGCTCTGGGCTCCCTTCCCCTGCAGCTCCCAGGGCTTTGGGATTTTCTGAAGGCACAAACAACCCTTCCCAAATTCCTGCATCCCCCCCCTGTCATCTGGGGGTTAAATTCAGGCGTTATCTGTGCTGGACAGGGCTTTTCATAACCACAAAAGCGACCGTACCGTGCCGAGGGCCCACCAGGGCACAGGGTGACAGCTCCAACAGTAAACAGGTTGTTTTCCACATCTTTCCAAAATTACTATTTATATTTCATGTTTTCTTGCTCGTCAGTTTTGACAGGAGCATCTCAGTTCTGGTACCAAGCAGCAAATAAAATCCACGCACCCTGGCACTGCTCCCCAGCACGGTTGGCTCTTGTTATTATTTATTTCCCTGACTCCAGGATAAGTTCAGGAGCCTTTTTTCCCTTGCATTGCATCAGCTTCTTCCTACCCATTTATCTTCCAGGTTTTGCAGCGCAGGGTTGAGCATCCTGGACACACAAAAAAGGCTTGGGAAGGTAAAAAACAAAAAGGAGCAAAATGTATGGGCTGGACATGGGTGTGATTCAAAATCTATATATTTATGGATATACAAAATATATTAATATACATTTATGTATACTCAAAATTCTGAAGAATTATCCGTGTTCACCTGGAAACCCCCCTGGTTTTGCAGCTAATCTGTACTGGCTCCTCTCTGCTTGGTTTCTCCCCTGCATTTCAATAATCCTTGACGTTCTCCCTCCTTTCACCTGTCAGTTCCTCCCACAGCAAGGCCAGAGGGAGCAGTTGTTGTCAGTGGTTCTGAACAACAACCTGCCATCCACTCCCTTCTCTCTGCTCCCAGGAATGGCTCCCCTGGAATCCTGCCAGTCTCAAATATCCCCGACATCAAGGTGCCCTTCCATCTGCTGGAATTCATCTTTCAGGTGCTGCCTGCCATTAATTATTTCAGCTAATTCAGCAGCAACACTAAACCTCTTGTTGATGATAAACCACAGCCTCCCCACCACGGATTCACTGGCTCAGGGAACGCTCCTCAAAACCCTCAGCTTCCAAAGGTTCAGGATTTCAACTCCAGCAGCTTCCACACTTCCTGAGCCAACCTGAATTTCAGGTGATTTCATGTTAATAGAAGGTGAATCAGAAACGGGGCAGGACAAGGGGAATGGCTTCCCACTGCCAGAGGATGGGGTAGGTGGGATATTGGGGAGCAATTCCTGGCTGGGGGGGTGGGCAGGCCCTGGCACAGGCTGCCCAGAGAAGCTGTGGCTGCCCCTGGATCCCTGGGAGTGTCCAAGGCCAGGTTGGAGCACCCTGGGATGGTGGGAGGTGTCCCTGCCCATGGCAGGGGTGGAGTGAGATAAGTTTTAAGGTCCCTTCCTAAATCCAAGCCATTTTGGGATTTTATGAATCTAGATGATGATGATGCTAATAATATTATTAATAATAACAATAATAATAATAAAAACAATAAACAACAGGAGAGCTGGGCAGGGAACTTCCCTCCTTCAGGGGCCACAACTCAGGCTCCTTCCCTCACAGCCTCTGACATCCCTGGGCACACAACCCTGTCCCCAGGGATTACAGAAGGATAGTTTGGGGTTTTGATATTCATTTGCCTCAATTTAAGTCCCAGCCCAATGTGCTCATCAGGACATTTGCTTTCATTCATGGTTTAATTACGGGGGTGTTCGCAGAGCACAGAACTGGGACCATTTCCTAGTTACAGGGAATATTAGGAGGAGCTGCCAAACCTTAATCAAATTTGTTCATTAGTCTGAAAGAATAATTTAAGGGACTTTTCAGTTTGCTTGTTCCCCCAAGCCTGGCAACAAAGCCCTGAAAGATATTTCCAAGGCATTTTGTTGGGAGCTGCAGCAGGGGCCGGGCTCCTCCTGCTCCTCGTGGTGCTCGGTGATGGGGAAAATCCAGCTGAGCTGAGTCAGCACCCAGAACTGAATCTCTCCTGAGGGAAAGGGGCTTGAAGGAGACAGGGAAGGACATTCCCATCTGGATCTCCCAGGATGACTCCAAGGCATAACCCTGCCATGGGGTACCTTCCCCTGCTGCTGCTCACTGCAAGGGGCACTGCCCTGCTGGCACATCCATCCCCATCCCAATTCCTCACCAGTCCTTACTCTCTGAACACGATTTTAATGGTGAAAATACAACTTTTTGGGGTGTCTCAGCTCACAATTCCACCAGGCACCTCTGCTGCACAATTTCTAAGAGCAACACTGGTGGAAATGATTTGTATCATTGGTGGGCAGGCCCTGGCACAGGTAGAATCCCAGAGAAGCTGTGGCTGCCCCTGGATCCCTGGGAGTGTCCAAGGCCAGGTTGGAGCAACCTGGGACAGTGGGAGGTGTCCCTGCCCATGGCAGGGGGTGGCACTGGGTGGGTTTTAAGGTCCCTTCCAACCCAAATCAGCCTGGAATTCCATATGTAAGTGCAGCAGAGAGAGCAAACTGGCCAGTTCTGAGAGAAAGACCAAAGGCACCTGTCCTGCCCACCCAAGATAATTGGTGTTTTCCGTGTTTTCCTTGGCAAAGTTTCTGCAGGAGGAGTTTGGCACTGGTGGGTCCAGCTTTGCTGTCACCCCAGAGCCTTCTCCTCTAAAAATCTGCTCAAATTCAGCAACAGTCACTGGGAAAATCCCACCCCAGAGTTGGACACTCTTGCTGGATGAACCCCTGGGCCAGCTCCTGCTGCTTCCCAGGCTGCACCCACACCATTCCCAGCCTACAACCAGCTCTTCCAGGTTCCTCTGGGGATGGAGCTGAGCAAACCAGGACCTACAGGAAGTTGCAGGTGGCAGAAACCAGATTCCTGCCCTGCAGCAGCCGTGCCAGAGCCCTCATGGCCAGGGCTGGCCACCCCAATCCTCCCCGAGCTGCAGGATTACACTGCCAGAAAGAAGCCAAAGCACCAAAAACTGCATTTGGCAAAGGCCCAGTGGAGCCAATGAGCTAAAAAGCCTAATTTTAAAATCAATTTGTCAGCAGAAAGCAGATCTTTGCTGTTGCTGGTTGAAGGACCCAGCACAGGAGACCGTGGGGGGGTCGGATCACACCAGAGTCACAGGGAGCAAGGCTCAGAATAAATAAGCAGTGGTGATTTTTCAGGCTAAATAGTGAAAATGGGATGATCTGTGCTAAAACTACACTCAGACAAATAAGATTTAGCTCCTTCTGATAAAGGGGAACAACAGCCTTCCTACAGATCTGAAAAATGATGGAAAATAGAACTCTGACGCGTGTCTTGTTTGAGCAGAGTGAGCCATAAAAAACCCACTAATGAGGAAATTTGTAATTCTGCCTCCAAGAGCCAAGTTTCAATAAACACTGTGACGCACACAAAGCATGTGGAGCAGGGACAGGCTCCAGAGAGGCAGCTCAGCCCCATTTGGGGGCATCAGCAGCCACCTGTAAGGAGAACAGTGGTGTCTGAGGAGACCCTTCACACGTTTTATCCTTCCACTCTTACTTCTCTGAACGCTGCCACTCCCTAGGTGGTTCCTACCAGAAGAAACAAAAGACATACAGCATGATATCAAGCCATTAAACGGGTGATGTGAGGGTTTTAAGAGTATAACTTTCCCCCAAAAAGACCAGACAGAAGAACAGCCACTTCATCAGCTGCAGGAAAGCCCAGAGGGAGTCTCTCTCGTTCAGCACCAGCACAGCTCACAAGAGCGGCATCCCAAGGAGCTGGTCCAGTCCTGGAAGGGACACACATGGCCCTGGAGCCACCTGAGCTGCTCCCACGTGGACCTGAGTGGGGGGTTAAAGCGTTGCAGTCCAAGGGACTCGGTGTTACAGCCCAACAGAGGAGGGAGCCCACGACGTCCACCTCTCATCCACTGGGTTCTTGAAGGCAAATCCTCATTATAAATAACTGTAAACAGCCTTCCTAGACATAAGGAGGAAAAAACACCCATCCCACTCCTCCAAAATGATCTCTCCTCCCCATCCTGTGACCTCCAGTATGGAAACA